GTTAATTATTTATTAAATTAAATTAACTCTAAGTTCTATTAAAGATAGATGGAAATAGTTGTCAACTATGTATTACCCAACGGGTGTAGGTGAATGACGAATTGAGGTTGTTAAGGAATTACCCACTACTGGAATTATGCCATAGAAGCTAGTGATAAGTTGATCCACTCCCCAGCCTGTGAGTCATAGAATCATTTTTTGGTTTCCTTTAGTAAAAGATAAGAGACGCCATTCCTAAAATGCACAATGAAATTTCGGAGAAGATTTCTGGAATGAATCATCGAAACATACTTCCTTCCTTAGGATAAAATAGGAATAGTACTTTAGAAGAATTTATAAAACATTAGGTATATTTAAAATATATATATATATATATATATATATATATATATATTTAAAATATATATATATATATATATATATATATATATATATATATATATATATATATATATATATATATGGCTCATAGTAAAATTGATACACCCCGTAGAAAATAAAAAAAAAAGACTTAAATGGTTACAGTAAACAAATAAAACAATAAACTTTTCGACAGATTTTTTTATTATCTCAAATTAAAAATGTACAAATTCAATAAAATTTAAATATTCAACTGTATTTGTTTAAAAAAATTAACAAACAAAACAAAATTGAATAATTTTACTTCACGGTTAAAATGGTACACCTCACTTCTTATAACTTTTAAATTCTATGCCTTGTAGGAAAGCCATTATTTTCTTCCAATCTATTAGTCTATTTGTTATGGAGTCGGCCATTTTTCGGTGAATTCTGGGCTTGGCCTGTTCCATTTTTCGAGATGTTTTTTTTTTAATTCTTCTTTGCTAGAAATTTCGTGTATTCTAATTTCTACATCCCACAGGTCTTCTATCACATTAAGATGCTGTGACTGTAGTGGATTTTTTATAACTTTGAGACAGTCACAAAGTAAACATTCCTTAACTAACATGGCAGAGTGTTTGGTGTCATTATCCTTATGAAAACTAAATTTGTTTTTTAGTTCAGATTTTCCGCAATTTCTTTCATGTTTCTTCTCTAAATGTCTTATGTAAATATGTTTATTCACTATACCATGAGAAAATTTCCTACACCAGAAGCCACCATACACAGTCACACCAAGAAACATAACATAAGAAATAACTTATTACTAGAATGTTTAGATATCGATTACAATAAATTATTGTTTTCAATGTAATATAAATTTAACTATGTATTTATTCAACAATTTCTATCAATATCAGGTATATCATTTTGACTGCGAACCATTTTATATATATATATATATATATATATATATATATATATATATATATATATATACATGAAGCTTCTATCCTTGGGGTCGAGCGAAACGTAGATGAGAGGATTCTTTTAAGATTAAAAACTTACAAATTTAGGTTTTTAATGAAATTAAGTTGTGATGCATGTAAAGAACTGGTAGTCTTATTTGTGCACATCTTCCTTCTTCGCTGAACTTTTATTACAATGAATTCTTTATATTTCATTAGAAATTTATTTTGAGTTTCTTTCCTATTATTTATTTATTTTTATTTTATTTTTTTAATAATGTATTATTTTTCTGTCGGAGCTTATTAGTTTTATTGAGATCGAAAATATGTTATAGTTAGGTAAGAAAAAAAAACTGTTTTTAAATCCTTGACAATTTCTTATTTTTATTTATGTATTTAGAAATATAATAATCTGTCTCGTGGACAATAATTATAGTGAGATATGAGCACTATATGTATACAGAAAACATAAAATCTTGACAATTAAAAAAAAAAGAAATCTTTTTATTTTAACTATTTTTTCTACTACTCGAAAATCTATGAAATCCATAGTTCATTTTATAATTTAAAAAAACAAAAAAAAAACACGAATATGTTTTTCTTCATTTTGCTGCTATTTCTTGTTAAATCTTACCCTGAGAAGTTTAGAAATTTAAATTTAGCGGTTCAAACTAAGGAAGTTTTTGACTGATGCAGGAAAAACTCAAAAAATAATTTTTTTTAAATTTAGGTCTTGCAGCTAATGAAACATAACTCATCCACGCATTACCTACTCAAGACAAACAAAAGTGCAAATATAACTGGTTTGATTTACAACCTATTCTAACATGTCCTTCAAATCTCCAAAGTTTTTTTTCTGTAAACATCTTTTTCAAAAATAAAGTACGGAGTCTTTAAACTGGGATAGACCAAGTAGAAATAGGTAAAATGTAGTTTTAAGTTAAGGAAAACAGTTCACTAATAAAAATAAAAAAATATTATTTTTTGGAAAAATCTTATTTTGTATTTGAAAAAAACATTTCGCTAGTTTTTTGTATAATGTTGTAATTATTGAATATGAATTTTTTCCGAGTTGTCTTTTGTGCAATATTTTTTTAAATTCTGCCTCGATGAATAAAATAAAGTTGCCACGATTTATTTCTTGAAAAAAGGTTATTTCGCTATTTTTCGGTGGAAGTGTATTTTTAATATTATTATTACTATCAACCAAACAAAAGTCGAAGTTCAACATTAGCAACGTTTATGAATGGTTAGATTTCTCTGTTATTATTTGTATTAATTTCCTCGTTTTCTTCGATTAGAATTAATAATATTGTTAAATACTTCCTTATCAGAGTATTACATAACGATGATCACCATAGCTGAATTATCCACCACCACTATTTAAATTTTTATTTAAATAAAATTTCTTATTTTATGAATGAACTTTTAGTGACGCATAAGAGAAATTATAGGTACTCATCGTACAACTAGTCAAGCGGATGTTGTACCAGCTTATCGCTGATTTCTAACATTCTACGATGATCTTATCGATTTCTGCAAATCTTGATATGGGTACGCATGTGTCACGCCTAAAAATCATCGTTAACCTGATGGAAAATCCTCTTAACTCACCGTCTATGAAGAAAAAAATTCTTATTAAAAGTTGACAACGGTTGTTAAATATAAAAATTGTGTTCCTTATTAAGGCATCTTCTTATATTTAAAATTGCTGTAATGCGATAAAGACCCGTGTGGTTGACGCCTTTCAAACTAAAAAAAAAAAAAAAAGGAATGCAAATATCATAAATTCCTACACTGCATTTTTATCTAATGCGTGTTTTGAATTTAGTTTTTTTTTTTTGCCTGTTTTTTATTTTCGCTTACTAGTATATGAAATACAGTGTTTCCCTACTTTCGGTAGTGAGGATGCAATATACAATAAATCAAAGTCCCTTAATTCCAAATAACCTAGTATCGCAAAATATGTGTGTTTGTGTATACTGCCATATATTGCCTAGCCCAAAATGAAAAGTCGTACGAAGGTAGGTAAGGCAGCAATGTTTTCATAGACGAACTGATTGAAAATAAAAAAAATGAATAATTATAATTCTTTTCTAGACATTTTTTGTGAAGAGTGAATTAGATTGTGCCGTCAGATTTCTAAGTGTAACGCTCGAGTAGAGGCGGCTAGAGTTGAATAATTGAAGTGTATTTGCATATGGATTAAAATATCTCAAAAAATAAAAATCGGACCTGAAAATGGTTCGCAAGGGAAATGTTTAGCATTTCATCCTCTCTGTAATGAGCTATTATTCAAAATTTTATCTTAACGCGACGCCGTGTAAGAGAGGCGAAAAGGAAAAAATACTGTGGAAAACTAAACGATAATGAGTTTTATGGAAGATATGGATTAAAATATCTCTGAAACTATAAATCGGACCTGCATACTGTAAGCGAGGAAAATCTTTTTTTTTTTTTTTTTTTTATTTAAAGATTTACTTACGATTTCAGTACTACTCGTATCATTTTTTTCAAAACATAAATAATAATTTTAGAACACATTAATGTATAAAATGAGAATTTAAATGCAGCAAAAGTTTTCGTACATAGCTGTATTATAACACTGATCCGTTTATTTATTTTATTCAACATTTTTAAATTAATATTTTGAATGCAGTATATCGTTTTTGAGTACCATTTATGGCAATGATTTGATCAACTTTGAAGTCGATTATGAGGCTATTTTACTCTATTCTTCAAACGATTTAGTTTTAAGATATTTTACTGACGTTATATTTCGAATTCCGGGATGTGAATCGACAAAAGCTCGTAAATGTTCGATGGGATTCGAATCTGGATACTGTAGAGTAGTTTCATGTTAACAAATATTATATAATTTAGATAATTATATATCCGGCATTCCCGTGTGTGGAAAGCTTGGAGATAAGGATAACTATCCTGGTAAATAGTGTTGCCCAAAATAGGTCTTGGTCTTGAACTTTGCAAGATCAAGACCAAGGCCACCTAACTCTTGCAAGACCAAGACCAGGACCGGTAAAAAAATCGATTATTTAAAATAAAATTTAAGACAGTACTGTACTCTATAAGACCTGTAGAGTTGGCGGACTACAGCCGAGTCCTTGGTTTGTTGTTAAATCCCGGTAAGATTTTCAACATCGCTATCACGATATTAACGAAGAAAATTAGAACATCTTCACAAAACTTTTTTGATGGCCATGTTATAAATAAACAATAATTCAGTTTGAGCTGAAACCTGAGAAGATTTAACTTATAACTTTTTTGTTTTAATATGCAATGTTTATTTTATCGTAATCAAAGTATTCTTTCTAGGATATGTCTCTTATTTCCATTTAATCAGCCATATGATTGTTCTGATACATTTTCCGCGTTGGAAGGCGTCTCATTAACCCATTAGATTGAGTTAATTACGAAAATTGTATTTTTATTATTTGGGTTCAATATCGTACAAACGAATAATTATTATTATCCAATAATGATTATCCAATTATTTGTTAATGTTTATTAGTTGGTTAGTTGGTTTAACACACTAGCGGATCCAGGATTTAATTTTTTTTTGGAGGGAAGGGCTTCAGCCTGAAAGCTTTTTTTTTTTTGGTTTTATATATATATAGAGATTATTACTTTGGAAGAACAAGAAAGATCCTAACTATCTTATATGAAATGGTGTCTAACTGATTCTTGAAGTTCTATTAAATGTAATTAAATGAACAATAATACTTTTAGAGATGACGTTTTAATATTTTTTTCATAAGAAATGGTTATATTTTACGATTTGGGGGGCTTCAGTCCGAAAGCCCCCCGTAGATCCGCCCGTGGTTTAACAGAAAGTTGAGATGGGTACGTAATCAGTTGAAGATGTATTAGAAAGAAGCGTGCCCTTGGTCAGACATAGCAAACACACTGATTATTTTTAGTTGTAAAACGGTGACGTCAGCGTTTAACACCTATATTTTTTTTTCTTAACTCGCGTTTAGTTTCCGTGGAGTGGTGTTCTCCGGTGCTGTTAGTTACAACATGGTGATAAAACCTTATCTGGAGTGTTTTTATCAGCATTCCGATTGTAAGATTACTAAAGATCACCTAGTTACCTATTCATTGCAGTCTTATAGGCTCCTTAAATATGTTCGGGTCGAGGGAGTTCGTCAGAGTGAGTATTAATTTTGACTAGTCTAGTCCTAGTGAGATTGTTGGAGTAGGTGTGTTTTGTGTCTTAATCAACATGTGGGGGCGTGTCAGCTCAATGGAGGATCTCTATACCAATAGTTTCAGCCAATTTATTATTCTTTCTCAAAAGGTGAATTTTTTTTTTGTTTCAAGATTCGCAACTGTTTCAAAATTACATTTTCTTTTCCTATGGGACAAGCTGTAGGCAGAATGGAAATATAGCAAAATATGAGGAAATTCATTTATTCCTTTAAAGCTTATATTTCTGTGGATGGATCTTCAAAAAATTAATAAATAAAAAAATATATATATATACATATATATAAAATTAATAAATTTTAGTTAAGGAGGTCTTAATGTGAAAACTTATTCAAAGCTCTCAGTTATTCGATTGATCATACTACACAATTATTACTTATCAGATGTAAAACACAGATCTGAGACTAAATCCATTTCTCACAGAAATGGGATGATAAAAAATTCTGTTTCACATTTTTCAAAACATTTCAATAAGCTCAATATATGAAAAATTAAAAATAAATGTCAACTTGCAGGAGCAGCGGACGTTAAAGTCTGGAGATGAATTTAAACATGAAACCCAAAACAGGAGTGCAGTCAACATGAGACTGCAGACAGAATCATATACTGCAGAGAAGGTAACTAAAAGTTTTTGTAATGTGGTATTTAGTTTAAATTTTGTACTATTTTCGAAATAAAACTTAATCAATTTTTAATAGAATACTGCACAACAACAAAAACAAACTATCACATCGACCGGTGTCGAAAAGCATATGGCACAATCCACTCATCAGAACATTTCTTACTCCTCAGGAATGACGAAAAAATCATCTTCCATGATGTCTTCATCACAGGTATAGAGTGATCATATTTTTTTACTCAAATATTTTATTTTCATCCATAAAATTTTACAATCCATCAATGAGCTTTTATAGATCATACATGGAATTGATAGGCATGAAGTGGACAGCACCCAGTGGTGCACCTCTTACAATTCGACAAACTTTTATTGTCACACTAAGAGGTTCTTTATCCATTGAATCAGTTGTTGCCATATTTTCATATTAATATTTGTTCTTTTTTTGGCTTTAACACTTGTAAAAGCAAGTCCTATTTTGATGTATTAATATTACTTATATATCCATATAATTCGTCATGAAACTGTTTATAATTCATACAAATGTGACTTGTAGTGTGAAGGCACAAGTCTAATGAAACATCTTGTTTCAAACACAAGGTGGTGAGTTCTTTACCAGTCTTAATAAATAAATAAATTGACATCGGAACATTTGTATTTTCTGAATAGGTGCAGATCCATAAATATCGCAAGCATATTTATGGACCTATATATATATATATATGGATAGGTTTTAGTTGATAAGTATAAACACTAAGTTTATTGTCTGAGAGTTAACTTAGAACATTTGTTTAGTATAAAATATAATAGTCTCGTAGATTTAATGTTTTACGTTTTTTCTTAATGTGTGAGCATCATATCAACCTTTGTCAAAAATAAGTCCTAAGTAGTGCATCGAGATGTTCTCTGATTATGTTCTGATTCATGATAACATGTATCGGCGATAGTCTTTTTTTTTTTTAAGGAATGTCTTCACACCCAAAGCATCAGGTTCACTGGCAAATGTAGATCCATATTGTTTATTTCTTCAGATATCATTACTCTCCTTTAATTGTTCGTTTTAACTGCACAAACTGTTTCTTCTTAAAAAAAAGTTCCTTTTTAACACAAAATTACTATTTTTTTTAGCTTAGGAAAGAAATGCAAAGTGAAAAAAATCATTCACTGTTTACATATTTTTTCATCTCTGGAATTTTAATTGGATAGATACTGTTTTATTGACACACTTAGTCTAAATGAAAAAAACAATGACTTTTTGACTAAAAACCACTCGTTTTGGTCACATAAAGTTAAAAAAACAATATTAGCTGAAAAAATGAAAACACTATGTTGTCACACGATCTCTCTGAGTGATCAAATGAATTAAACTTTACATACTTCATTTATTTAAAGAAACCTTATTTATTTATTATTTCACCATTCTAATAAAAATCACTAAAAGTCCTTAATAATGCTGGTCTCAATAATATTTCCCTGTTTCTCTTGCTTTTTACTCCAGCCAAGAGCACTGTGTGCCAAAAAATATGTACTTATGGCCTCTTCAGTTAATTAATTTACAATGAAGATTTTTGTATTAAATCTGTTTTTATAAATTGATATTTAAATATTTTATGAGGTAACTATTTAAATAACTGGCTGATATTTGATGATTTTAAACACTATGGGTTTCCTAATATCTCCCTTTATTATGTTTTAATAGGAATATTGATTTAAGATAAGTTTTATGATATATGTCATGTATTTAAATTGAGTATTACATGTATATGTTCATTTGATAATATGAATTTTCCAACCTTTTAGTCTACTTAATTGATATTTTATACTTTTTCTTTCAGTTTCAGATGTTGAATGGCCAAAATCTGAAAATGCTTGAAGAAGAAAGAAAGAATGCATCATTGCAACCTGTCACTTTCGAAGATTTAGAAAAACTCAGTGCTACTTCATCACAAGCAGAAGTAGAAAAAGTTAAAGTAAAATACACTCAGCAGCTAATTAGTGAAATTCAGCGACTAAAAGATGGAATGAAACCAGAGAAAAAAATGCTCTCTTTAAAAAATATGAATGAAATGCTCCGTAAAGCTTGGGCGGTAAGATCAGTGATGAATAGTTTTCCTAATGGAATTCTTTGTCTTTTGATTTTTGCCTCATTGGTTTTTTTTAAAATCTACAGGTGCCTACGCATGGCCATGATCTTGGTTCATCACTTAGCAATGCCCTTAGAACAAGCGGAGGGCTGGAACTTCTGCTTCAGGGAACTACAGAGCCTGATATGCAGTTCTCTTCAGCATTATTACTTGAGCAGTGCCTTACCACCGAAAATAGAGATTATGTTGTTGCTCACGGTCTTGAAACTGTAGTTACATCAGCATGTTACTGTACAAAAAATTCCCTTGATGTTGACCACTGGCGTGTTGGAACTGGTACGTTATTACTATTTCTTTAAATCTTGAATTATTGTTTTAGAATGCAATGAATATTAAGGAAAATTCTTATTTCAGGAATACTCGAACATTTGTTTAAACACAGCGAAGGTACTTGCAGTGATGTAATCAGGCTTGGAGGTTTAGATTCTGTGTTATTTGAATGCAGAAAAAATGATATTGAAACTCTCAGGCATTGTGCCGGTGCACTTGCTAACTTGTCATTATATGGTGGTTCTGAAAACCATGAAGCAATGATAAAGCGTAAAGTTCCTGTTTGGCTCTTTCCTCTTGCTTTTCACACTGATGATCATATAAAGTACTATGCATGTCTTGCCATTGCTGCGCTAGTTGCAAACAAAGAAATAGAAGCAGCTGTACTGAAATCCGGAACATTAGATCTAGTTGAGCCATTCATAACAAGTCACAATCCATCAGAGTTTGCAAACTCTAACTTAGCTCATGCCCATGGGGAAAGCAAACATTGGCTGGAGCGATTAGTACCTGTCCTTAGTTCAAAAAGGGAGGAAGCTCGTAATCTTGCTGCATTTCATTTCTGTATGGAAGCAGGAATAAAAAAGAGACAAGGAAATACTGGACTATTTAGAGATATTGGAGCAATAGAGCCACTTAAAAAAGTGGCAAGTTGTCCCAATGCTATTGCATCGAAATTTGCTGCTCAAGCCTTAAGACTGATGGGGGAAGAAATTCCTCATAAACTTAGCCAACAAGTTCCTCTTTGGAGCATAGAAGATGTCAAAGAATGGGTAAAACAGGTATGGTTATTATTAATTAGTTTATTATGTATTTTATCGCTAGTTATTATTTAATTTATCAGTCAATAGGATGGACAAATTCAAAAAACATTATTGTTTATTTTATATATTAAACAATATTTCTGAATTTGGCCTGGGCAGAGGGAGGTTAAATTTTATTTCACTATAGTCCCATGGAATGAATTTCAACATTGCCATTCTGGCTTGAAAAATAATATGTGGGATTACCCATCTTTTTGCCCTGGCTGGACTATATGAAGGTGTTAAAATAAACAAACATTTTGGTTGACCTACTATGAAAGTTTGCCATAGTATCCCATTCATTTTTTTATAAAAGTAAAATAGATTTATATTCTGATGCAGGTAAATTTCTTTACTATAATTCATGGTATTGGCAACATGCTGAAACCTCCTTTTCCTTGTATTAATTTTATATTCTAGTTTAATACCTGTTTCTGTTAGCTGTTCTTAAATTAAACTATATTTTTTTTTCTCTGTAGGCCCCCGCCCCTCCCCCTCCACCACCACCCCCCCCCCCCCAACCCCCCCCCCCCCCCCCGCCCCCCCCCCTCCACCATCATCCCCCCCCCCCCACCGCCCCATCACCCCACGCCCCGCCACACGACCCGTTGCCTGTGGATGAGTATATTTATCCACCCATTACCACCTCTCCCCCCCTCCCACCACCCAAAACCCCCCGTAAACCTAAACAAAAAAATATAACAACCAAAACACAACAAACAAACACCCACCCAACAAAACCAACAACCCCCCAAACACTTTATGTCCCCAAAACCATCAACAACAAACCACCATATCATGCATCAAACACCACAACACCCGAGAGATCCCCCCCCCACCCCCCCCACCACAATCCCCACCCCTGAAACCGAATCCCCCAACACCCCACACACAACCCCCCACCCCAATCGAGGGGGGCACCACACAACACTCCCTCCCAAAACTCAACCCCTAGACACCCTTCTCCCAGCACTCAGAACCAAGTGTAACAACCACTAAACACTCAATCCCACTACCCCCGACTTTATTGCCACCCTAATCATATCCCCCATAAACACTCCTACTAATCCTATACCCCCCGTCACACATCCACGTTCCCTCTTCTTGTTTCCCCTCCATGCGACTTGACTCCCAATTGCACCCGCGACCCGCCGCCTGCAATATGGGAATCCCACACAAACTCCCCACCGTCCCCATCCCCACTACGATCGCCTCACTCCACAACCCACCGGAATTCCTGCCAATAATAACCGCAATCCAAAGACAATCACAGATATCGTTTTAATAGAAAATTTCTATAATTTATCATTTTATTATTTTTAATCTACCTGATTACTTTAGTTTCTGATCCAGTTGTTATTTCTAATATATTCATAATTTTAAAAGTTTGTAATTATTTTTTTATTAATTGTGATAATTTTTTTTTTTCATATATAGATTGGTTTCCAAGAGTATGCCATAAACTTTAATGAAAGTAGAGTTGATGGGGATTTGCTTCTACAGCTTACAGAAGATAACCTTTCCGAAGATATTGGAATAAAAAATGGAATTAGAAGGAAAAGGTAAATAATTTTAATGTGTATAATATTAAGTAACTAATGCATCATTTGAAAAATGACAAAATACAAGCAAATTTACCCTTAATTTAAATTTTATATGTTATAATTTATAAAAATGAATTAAGTTTAGACTATTGAAAGGCTAAAGGTAGTTAGTTATATTTGAATTTATGCATTCAAATTTTCTGAGTGATATTGATGGGATAATTTTCTTAATAATGAGAAAATATCTCATTTGGAATAACTTTTGAAATAATCTACTAACTGGTTACGTATATCTTCTATCTTTTGTGAACCATATTCTTTTAGGATTAAAATCAAAGTTTTCCATTTATGTTTAAATTTGAGGATTTTCCTACGTTACTTTTTTACGTTCACTTACCTATATATGTAATATATAGTAAGTGTAAGTATTGCGATTGTGAAAATTTTTTAATCTGAATTTTCAACGGAAATACATGTTTTGAGGTCCTCTGCGTCCGAATAACCAAGTCCTGAAAAATGGTTTGTGTGTATGTGAATACTCTAGCTCGAAACCAAAAAGTTGTACGAAACTGATATTACATATTTAAGATAGATATATGCCTTAGATGTTCTGGCAACTCTTTCTTTAAAATCAGCTAACCGGAAGTGCCACTTTATATCGACACTGAAACACATTTTTACAATTTTCTCAAAAACGGCTCTAACGATTTTGATTAAACTTGGTGCATCATTATATAATTAAATTGTCTTTAATATCATTTAGGTGTTATCCCCGTTGATGTCACTTTACAGGGATTAAATGCCCAATGATCATATGTGTCTTCCTTTAAAGTACCTTTAATATGGTTTATTTTAAATAATCAACTATCTCTCATTATTAAAAGTTACGATAAAATGCTAAATATAACTTTTGAAAGCATTTGATATTTGAATAAAGGAGAAAAAAATAAAAATCCTTATAGAGGTCGAAAATGGCTTTCTGGAAATACTAGTCAGAAGGTATACTTATAATATATCCTTGGAAAGAGGAGGATTTTAGAAAAAACAATATATAATATAGAAAGTTGTAGAAGGTAACGGAGAGTGGCAAAAAAATTATAAATAATAATTTTTGAAAACTGATAATGTTTAACGTAAATCACATGTTTTCAGGGAAATTAAATGAAATTTACTAACTAAATGTAAACTTTAAAAAACATTTTTACGGTTGTAGAAAGTATCTAAAATCCACCTAATCAAGGCATGGCATTGTTAAAAAAACTATTTCATTGTACTTGTGCGAAAGAAGAAGTAAAATATAAAATCATTTCATGGATGTATAAAGCATATGTTCATGACCTTAAATACAGTTACTGTAGTGTTAGTCTATTTATTCCGATATATTGTCATGTAACTTTTTAGAAAATTAAATTAGTGAATAATTTGATGAATTTTCCCTTTGTGATATTCCAACAGTATGCCCTACTATTTCATTGTACTTGTGTGAAAGAAGAAGTGAAATATAAAAATATTTCATAGATGTATTTATAAGCTTAAATGTATCTACTGTAGTTTAATAACTCTAGATCTGATATTATATTTAAATATTTAGGTATCTATCGTCCGTTTATTCCAAAAAATCATCATGTAACCTTTTAGAAAATTAAATTAATGAATAGTTTGATGAAATTTCCTTTTCTGATATTCCAACAGTATACACTTACAATTAGTGTGACAACTTTTGACCTGTCTATGAAAGACAATGCAAATCTCTTAATTCTGTATTAGTAACCTTTACAATGGAAAATAACAGTTTAATAACTAATAGTCTTACAATAAATAACCAACAGATTGTGCAATCCATAATCAACAAATCGTACAATCCATAATCAACCGATGATATAATAAATAAAACTTTTGTTATTTTAATGGTACTTATGATTTGTTAGCTGTAATTTTTTAGCTTTAGCTCAGTTTAAAATGCAATTCAAAATTTTATAATAGCCCAACATGGCCAGAAAATAATTTCTATTCAAAGTTGAGCGGTAAAGTGAAAGTTGTGTTGCACACACCAGATTTTTTTACCTAGAGCTTACTTTTTAAAATGTAAATAAGCTATAAATAAAATTGTTTTGATCTTTCCAACATTGTATTATTTTCTGTCCTCAGGTTCACGAGAGAACTTCAAAACCTAAAGAAAATGGCAGATTACAGTAGCCGAGATGTAACAAATCTTAATGATTTGTTATTGCACATAGGACCTGAATATGCGATATATACATATTCAATGCTGAATGCTGGTGTTGATAGAGAAACGTTAAGGTAAATATAGACTTCTTCTATGAATAAATTAATAATTCTTTATTTGAATTCATATATGTTTTTTTTTCATATTTCAATTTTAAGTGTAATAAAATTAAATGCGAGCCCAATCCATTAAATTAATGGATTAGTTTATAATGTGCCCATAAAACCTGAGAATCTGTAAATATTTATTCATTATATACTAATTATTTCGGATAATTTAAAGGTTGATCACAAAAAACATTGAAAAGTTGTTAATTTTGACTGTAGGGGAGAGGAATACTGTTTAGTTCTCTGTTTGGTACTACTTTTGTTAAGACTGTTGATGGCATGGTCACTGGGAAAAATATAGCTATTTGACATACCTATTAACCATAATACAAATTATGATATCGGGATATTAAAATAAAAAATAAAGCCATCCCATTTAGTTTGGCATAAGTTTCCTCAGGTGTTATCCTTGTATCTGTAAATATGTTGTTTTCATTAACAGGTTCCATAGAACCTTGTTAAAGAGATGCCATGCCACATGATTTTTATTTTGGTTTATCTCAAGTTCAGGATTAGGGTCCTCACATCCTTAGTTTTGGTAGCCTATATCCCAGCTGTCTGCTAAAGTAGAAAGATCCTCCATAGCATTTGAAACATCATAGCATTTTTATTTTCTACTTCTTGGTGAGACCATTGTGGGAAGTATGAATTTCTTAGCTATATTATAGTGACTAAATAAATTGAGTGGTCTCAGTTTATGTTAAAACCACATTACATTAACTTTAATGATTTTCCACATTATAATTATAATCTAATGTTGAATGAAATTTTTAACATAGTTTCTTTTAATCAACTATCTTGAAAAATGAAACTCCATGGAGTTCTATTATAATTCACTATGAATTATGTATACATTTATCGCATATTAATTAGAATTCTTTCTATTACTTTGCAGAGGTCTATCAGATGAACAGCTGATGTCAGAATGTGGAATAATGAACAGTATCCACCGAATGAGAATGCTTGAGACATTCAAAGGTAATCTAAAACCTAGATGTCTTCATAAAAAACATTACAATTATTATTATGTATAATTTATTAAATAAATGTTTAACAAATAAATTTTGCTCATTTCCCATTACAATGCCTTTTAATGTTACTGTAGTGCAAAGCCTCAATATAATTGATTGTTTTTAATAAAGAGCAAATTCGTTTTATCACATATTTCTAACTCATGATAACTCACTATTAGATAATTTGATTTGTAGAAAAATGTAGATTATTGACTGATCATTAAATATAATATTCTAGCTATTGTGGTTGTTATTATTCCCAATTTATAATGTACTTATATTCTTTTATTTTAATTTTCAGTGCAAAGAAGCTTTTTAGAAGATTCCCAGGAAGAAAATCTGGACAAATCGTTAGATGTGTTTATTAGTTACCGAAGGTCAAACGGATCCCAGTTAGCAAGGTATACTGAATTGCTAATTGTAAAATAATCATGGGCATGGGTTGTCATTTGTAAATTATTTACTGCTTCTTATAAATAAATGTCTTATTATGTCTTTACGGAAACTGTTAAGTAAGCTACACTATCAGATTGTGTCTCGTGAAATTTCAATTTTTTGTGTTAGCACTAACGAAACATGGATAGGTGCAATTATTTAACTTAAAAATCACATTTGCTCCTTGTTTTCTATTCAGTCCTTCTGATGAACGAACCTTTTAAATTCATCTTCAGAAAACATTTTTTCAGCATTACATCTCTAGTTTTCAAACAATCAACTTTTCAGAAAGTAGTCCAAGACCTTGAAAAGAGACAATAAATTGCTGGATGATTTATATTATATTTATATTATTATATGTATATTATATTTATATTGTAACTAAACAATGGTTTTGGGTTTGGTTTCGTTACGATATTGGCAATCATTAATCATAGTTTAAAGAAAACTATCCGATGCTTAATTTTAAAAATTAAAGTTTTACTCTAATTACCTATTTAATAATTAATACATTTCATTTCTATCACTCATAAACTGATGTTTACTGGGACACCACCAGATATTTCGGCTCATTTTTATTTTTCCAAAAAAATTTAAGTGACAGTACGGTTTTTTGTTAGGTGTATATTTAACACTTATTTTTTCAGTTTTTTGAACTAACATTGCCTCATGATATTTTAATGATTTCATTAAAACAAATTTGATTAGTTATATTTTACATATATTTCAAATTATTTACTCACCATGATTAACACTGAAATATTGGCAATTTCCTTTTTGTTCACCTTCTTTATATTGCCAGTACTATGTCTTTATTTTCTCTGTATTCATTTATTCATTGGGTCAACAAAATTTTTATGAACGATTTATCTAGTATAAATATGGGACAATAAATATCAATGGCCTTTAGGTCAATAGGCATAATCCTTAAAATGAAAAACTTATAAGAGAACTAGAACAAAAAATATCAAATTGTTTTTCTGGTATTTTAATGAACTAACTTTATAATAAATTAAAAGTTATTACTTGTGGTCCACCACTTAAAATTTACATCCGTTAGCTAAAAATCAGAATAAACCATTTTTAACCACTAAAATAATTTTATATTTTTAAGTCCATTTACTTGTAGAGTATAGGTACTATTAAATCCAATTGCAATTGATTCATAACAATTAATATAATATTCTTTTAATTTTATATATCATTGTTACTATGTATAATAATTTATAGTCTGTAACAACAAAATGCTTCAATAATTATGTGATTTTTTCCTACAGCTTACTGAAAGTACATCTTCAATTACGAGGCTTTAAAGTTTTCATTGATGTCGAAAGGCTTGAAGCTGGAAAATTTGACAATAATCTTTTGCAAAGCATAAGGCAAGCAAAACACTTCTTGCTGGTTTTGACTCCTGAGGCTCTGGATCGGTGTATAGCTGATGATGAATGCAAGGATTGGATTCATCGAGTAAGAACTTTTTCATTAATTAATTTTTTAATATTAATAATATGCATTAAGCATAGACAAAATGGGCCAACAGGCACTTAATCTCCCCACTTTTACTTCTTAGCATTAACCATAATATTAAGTTGAGAGGAATTTTATGTTACATAAGATTGTCGCGTATAGTATTTCTTTCTCTAATCAAAAAATTATTTTTGTTCAAAAATGGTCATGAAAACTTAATCATTATTTTCATTATGTCATCATTAATTAGGAATCAATTTTTGTTACTTATTTGACATTATCAAAAGTGATTTGCTATCATTTAAAGGTTCAATAAATAATAAAATACCTGCCTACTATTAAAAACCTCAAAGTATTTCATAAGCCTAAGATTTATAGGCTTATGAAATACTTTATTTCATTCATAGATTTATAAACTTTTGTTAGTTTGTTCCAACTGTATAAATAACTTACGATTGCTATTTTGAGTAATGAAATTGTTATATTTAGTGAGTGGTCTGTAAAAATATTAGCACTAGTGATGGAACTAGCATATAACTAGAAACTAGCAATGGATTGGTACTGGTACTCGTGAGGGATACTGGTCCGAAAAGTGAGTCTTGTGGATCTTTCTGCCAGCCATTGACAGCTACCTTGAGGTTCCCATCCAGTGCTAATCAGAATGGGGATGTCAAGATTTACTCTCGGGGCCGTGATGAAATAAATATTAACTGACCTGGATTGGAATTTAACTCGTACCATTTCGGATCAAGAATAATTAACAATTATATAAGTGCCAACAATTACAATTCAGTTGATGTCAATAGTTATCACCTTTATATTTTTCCTTTAAATGGACTATATAGAAACCAAGTTTGTAAGATGTTAGTTTTCACATTATAGCATGATTTACGTTTAATAGTAAAAAAAATTTTTTTATAAAGACCAGTGAATAAATCAGTTTAAAAATTCCAATCAATAGGCAACATATCAACATAAATAATAAATTGTAGAAGTATAAACAAACCATACATAAATGCTTCAATTATTACAGTTCATCTTTAATTTGTTAACAAAAAATTTATAATAGGGTTGATTAATATATATTTTGTTTGTTTTATTGATTACTATTTATATTTTAAATAATTATTATCAAGTATTCAAAATTCATAATGATGATCATATGAGGAAGGAAGATAGCTAATAGTATTATGACAGTATTGTAAAACATTGACTTTTTTTTTGTCACAATAGTCCTCATTAAATAATAATTAAGCATAATTTAATTTGGCCGTGATTATTGTTTTTTCTTCCAGATGACAGTGTCCTTTTAATTTGGTATTTTATTTATCAGAGCCAACACATAGTTTAGATGAAAATGTATAGTAACCATTATTATCACTTAAATCTTAAATTGTGCAATTATCACTCTAATTCATTCAAGCGAAAAGCCAAACATTTATTTAAATAATTAGAACTTATATCCTCTTTGATTCCTGAATAAAAGACTTTTCACTATGATTTATTAGTAACATATTACTTTCATAATTACTTCATCAGTATGGTATAGCCTAACATTTCATAGCAATAAATATTTCTTAGTAAAATGTTGTTTATTAAAATTTTATTTTTTGGTTTAGGAAAATTTAATACGTTTATGACCAGTTTAATGTATATACATCTGGTTAAATTTGTAATTTAGACCTTAAAATTAGATTGACTGTATTCGTTTAAAAATATTAACAATTAACTATATACTATAGGTCACTTTACATACCTAATTGTGCCTATGGCTATTCTTCATTTCTGCCGAAGTCCTTTTATTGTGTCTGTGTCTATTTTTATACTTCTCAATTAGAATAACAAAAACAAAACACCAATCACAATGTCCATTGTTATTGATTTCATTACACTGAAAGGTGTATCCTTTTACTTATTCTTTCCATTTATGACTTACAGTATCATTCTTATTTTTAATTTATAAAACTAACATAATATAACAATTATTTTATTTTCCTTTATTATGCCCTGTTTGATAGAACCAAAAATGAATGTTTAAAGAAAACAAATGTTTTATTACCTGTTCTTTGTTTTAGAACACATTTTATTTTTTTTGAACAGTATACAATAAAACCTAAAATTTTACTAACACTATGTTACCTTCATAACACAAACTTCTGTTTTCATATTTAAAAAAAATAATTTTCACTAAAAATGAATTGTTTAATTTGTTTCAGGAAATTGTTGCAGCTCTTGAATCATCTTGTAACATAGTACCCATCACAGATAATTTTCAGTGGCCTGACGCTGAGATACTACCTGAAGATATGAGACCTGTTTGCTACTTCAATGGAGTGAGGTGAGTCTGTTGCATTTTTAAACGCTATCATCATAACTATTTAAAGGAGCATTGCTGAAATTCTATTCCATCATTTCTATTTAAAGATGAGCAGTCATATAATTTCTTGAAGAAACAGTGCTTCCAACCTTCATTTATTGCAAATATGGTGAAGATCAGACTGGTCTCATCAATATTTTAATTTTTAAAAAAATTAATTTTATTAAATTCTTATAAATATGGACTATTAAATCCCATATAAATTATTTATTAAGGTGTCATTCTCCCTTTGTTTATGTAATTATCAAATATAAACTCATATTAATTAAATATTACTATATTAAATTAAATTATACAACAAACTATATAATGATAATATTAAAAAAAAAATTATTATATTTATTTTTATTAATTTCACTCAACTATTTTAAATGATTAGTGAAGTTGATTAATTTATGTAATCGTGGTTTATTTATTTTTAATTTATTGACCTAGAATTTTAAATAATACAAATTCATAATGCTTGTTAAGTAAGCCATTTATTGATTATCTTCTTTGTGTTCCATGAATTAAATTTGTTTGAATCTTTCTTGCATAAATTATTTTTTATTAATTTTATAATTTATTTGAACCAAAGTAAAAATACTAACTGACAATTGTTGAATAATCTCTAAATTTAATTTCCTTATCTTCATCTCATTGAACATCGACCTTTGTTTGTTTTTTTACATAATCTCTCAACAAAATTGTTTATATTCATTCCCAAAGCAGTCGATGACAACATAAATAAAAAGTTTATTATAAATTGCTTATATGGTCTTTTCAACAAATTATTTTAAAGTTTACATAATCACAATATTATAACAATTGACTGTGACATTCAAAAGTCTATAAATTTTTCAATGGAATAGCACAAATATTGAATTGTTTTTCTATGTGATGCTACAAGTAATAATAAATAAAATATAATTACAAAGTATGTAAACCTGTAATAGATGTTTAATGAAATTATTACATTTTAATAAATAATGAAATATAAGGAAGAAAATAATCCCAAAAGAAACTAATTGTTCATAAGATACAACCATAATTATCAGTTTCATAACAATGAATAATTAACTTTTTTTTTTAAATAATTTGCACACATGAAACAAAAATGAGAAATAAAAACTTAATCTAAAACTAATGATATATCAATCTTTATCATAAGTAAACTAATGTGTTTAAAAAGAAGTTAAAAATATTTTGATGATTGTTTTATCACAGATGGATCCATGACTACCAAGATGCTTGTGTTGACAAGATTGAAAGGTTCCTTAGAGGTGAAAGGCGGGGGGATGGCACACCTGGTACCCCATCATTAAGCCACAAGCAACAACCTGTATTTCAGAGGGCTCACTCAAACATGAGTGCCGACTCGGATACCCCTCGGGATTGACTAGAAGGCCACGCCAGGTAATTATCTAACATATAATTTATAGCATGTAATGATTGATAAATAATAGTTAATATATAATGTAGTGACGTTTCATTATCTTTAATAAATATAATATTATTAGAAAATGTGCAGATATTATTCTACTTTTATATTAAATTAAATGTGAAAAGAGCAATTAAAAAAAAAAAAAAATTCATTCACAACCAAATCTGTCCTGAGAAAGTTTATTTTTATTTTATTGCAGACCCACAGAATAAATCTCAATCCTTATACTCTGTCTAAATTAAATTTGAAATCTGTGGGATAGCCCTCCATTGCTGTCCTTATTATATTACTCACTGATTTTAATCCAATAAACCACAATATTCATTACTTGATCATAAATTACTTTATAGTAAATTTCATATGATTTATTTACTTTATCTTAAAAACTTACTGAATGATTGTTGAAGGGGGTGAAAAAAGAATCACGGAATTATAGGATCACTGTATGTTCACTTTTTAAAAAAAAAATTTCAATACGAACATAAAGGTCTTCTGTATCAATCCAATATTTATAATATAATTATCTATATACATTATTATTATTATTGCTGCTGTTTGTCATAAATCTCAAATTTGTCACTCTGTGTCTCACTATTTTATTTTTTATTTTCGGCAGCTTAGTATGACTTAAAAGTAATTTTTAATAATTTAAGGTGCAACTTTGTTATTAAAAGTGAACTTGAATGATGTAATTTAATAAAATAAAACATTTATAACTCATATTATATCATATTTTTGTAGGCGTCGCAAATCAGCGAGTCCCGCACAGGAGACGAACGCCTGGCAGAGGCCTCCTCAAAGTCCACGTGGTGGGAGAACAAAAGCGGGACCACCCCGCTCGCGGTCCGTAGAGGGGTTCCTGGAGTCGGCCCCCTCAAAATCGGGGTCTTTGGAAACACTTTCAACAGCAAACAGTCTAAACAAAAAAAAGGGCTTAGTAGACCGCTGGACCAGCTCACTCAAGTTGCTAATGAAGAAGTAAAGAAGTCACTGCCAGCGCCAAGTGGTTTTATGAATGCTGTATTCACAGCCTGGCATGCCAGTGAACAACAAGATCTCACAACCACCTGTAATTAAATGTTTATTAGGCCTTTTTCCAAAGTTTTAGAAACTTAATAATAAAACAACTATTGAGTTATGTATTACTTGTAAATTATAAATGTGTGGACAAACCCTAACAATGCAACGAATCGGAGGGTCACAATCAAATAACATTACATAAATAAGATATAAAGCATAAAGAACTTTTGTATTACCATTACTGAAGTATTTGTTTCGCCTAATGAACCTTTTACTCTCATAAGTCTGTGTCTGAATAGTATTTATTTTTTTTATTGAAAAGTTGTTTGTCTTTATGTCTTTAATGTTTTTAAATTTTTATATATCTGTAAATAAATTTTTATGTATATGTATATATGGAACTGAAGCTTTATGATGTTATTATGTATTATATTTGGATTTGCGATTATGAGGAATCTCAATTTATTACTGTTTTGTACATAATTGTATTATAAGTTTTCTTGCGGATTATACATCATGAATTTTATTGTTGTTTAATATCTAAAATGTATTTTTGTATATTTATTTAATTTAATAAACCTAAAAGCCTTTTTAACTTGTTTATATTGATTTGATATTCAGTTTGCTATGTGATAATGTATTTTATTAGATTAAACTAATTCTTTTTTATGTTATTTAATTATGTTTTTCTACCTTTTTCCAATTATAACCACGCTTCACTATTAATCTCTACATAGTTTATTGTGATTCTTCCCCCCCAAAAAATTAAAGTGGGATACATTACTCTGTTGAATATGTTATATGAATTATGGTGCATTCATATTTTAAGTAGTTGGTGGATTAAATATTGAAAGAAATTCATTTCAAATAAGTCACATATCAGGTCATCACAGAAGTAAAATGAGTTTTTCTTTAATTTAAATCTGTGAAGAAAAAAAAAACTGCTAATATCTTTCAATTAATAATTTATTTACCATTGTAAGTTTTAATTCATTCTCCTGAAAAGTATAATTATATTCATAATAGAAAATTGCTGCATTATCATAATTTATAAAGTAGTAGGTTTGTTAATGCGGCAAAAGATCTACAAGGTCTGTAATCCTAACAGAAAAAAAAATCATAATTTATAAAATTATTATATTTTTCTTATATTTTGGCTTGATTGGAAATATTTTGACAGAAATTTTTTGAACAATGTTACTCAATGGGTTGTTTACCATTGATCATACATAGCATGCAAAATCAATTACTGTAGAATCTCAATTAACACTTCTCAGTAACCAAGAAAATAATCCACACTTTTTGTTTGTTGTAACTATTTACTATTCTAAGAAATTGTATTCTCCTCATTTTAAACAGTTCATTCCAAACTTCTCAGTCTGTTTTTCGTCTTTGTTATTCAAGCCCTAATAATGTTTCTTGAATTTTACACACATAGGTTTGTTATTCTTTGAATAAAAAGTGTTTTCCTCCTTAAACATTGTTTTCATATATCTGGCGACCACTTTCCAGATAATTGAGGTTTTAATGTACACAGATATTTCTTTAAAAGTATACATACAAAGGGAGTGCGGTCCATAAGTTTACAGCCTGTTTTTATTCAAGAATACTTCAATCTGCACACCATGGACAACCATGCTTGCTCTCTGCAGATCCATTGGCTCAACTTCCTCAGTCCTGTCAGTAAGTGTCTAGCCTTGATGGAAACTTTGTATTTTTACAAAGTTCAAGATCAAATATTATGCAGTTATTAAATTATTTTGTAAATGATGCCTTTCTCCTAGACCAATTAAGGAATGTTTGTTTGATGTGTATGCACAATGTTTGTACAATAGAACTTGAAACTGGATTTCTGTCTGATTGGTAACTGAAGACCAAAAAAATAGCAGCAAGGTTGGTGTTTTCAAAAACAAGTATTCTAAGGATCATCATAGAACATTTGCATATGATCATGGTGTGAGCAAGATGGGTTCCAAAATTTATTTCAGCTGCTCAAAAAGAGGGATTTATTCACTGCTGCAATGATTTTTTATGCTTAATACATAAAGAACTCTACTAAGAGAATCGCTAGGCATTTTCTCCTATTTAACATGGCCCTAGAATGTGCAGTTAGAAAATCATAAATTCAGGTTGGTTGAATAGCTTTTAATCACTCAATACAACTGTTGGGATAGTTTGCCAATGACATTGAATTGGTTGGGAGATCACTGACAGCCATAAAGAAAGCCTTTGGAGCTCTGCAAAGATCTATGGCAAGAGTTGACTTAAATATAAATTCAAATTAAAATTAATGTGGACAGATCCAAGAGAGAAGCATGTGTGGAAATTGGAGGCCTCAAGTTTGACTGCATCTTTGAGTTAACATAACTTGGATCCCAGAGAAATATAAATAATGGCATGAATGCAGAAATTCAGAGATGAATCATGACTACAAATAGAGCCTATTTTAGCCTTCAGACACATTGAAAGCTGAGTGTTCTTGGGGATAACTAAGCTGAGCATATATAAAACCTTAATCAAACCAGTGCTAATATATGGTCTGCATTGCTGAAGAACCCTTCTTTGATTTGAGCATCATGTTTAAAAAAGAATATTGGGCTACTTTATTTTGATACTCAATATCAACCAGGAACGGCAAATGAAAACAAACAATGGTCTGCAGGATCTTTACTGAGATGCCAATGTTGTTTGAATAATAAGGATTTGCAGATTAAGATGGGCTAGGCACATTCACCAATACCTGGGGAGCATATATTGAAGAATTATTAGAACGAATTCACACAAAATGACTAGTAGACAGACCTAAACTTAAATGGCCTGATGGGATGAAAGCTACCCTTGGTATTCACAATTGGAAGGTAACTAACTGCACTTTATAAAGATAACTAATGGTTGAAGTTGCGAGAGGCTTTGACTACATGAGAAAGAAGAAAACTGTGCAACAAATGAAGAAGAAAACTGAATCTTATATGAGCATAATACCGACCCAAAATAGTTTTCATAATCAGTTGTAACTGAAGATAAGATAATGGTATTATACTAACCCAACAAAATAAAGTTCTTGGAATGGAGAAACACTTCTGCTAAGTACAAGAGTCATGTACTTAGAAAAAAAGGTAATGCTCTACTTCACCTGTTGTGAGATGTCAGCAAAGAGAAAAGGCAGAGGAAGTTTAGCAAATGTGTTCAGCTTCTTCACGATGATGCCCTTGGTCAGACAGCATTTATTACCAAGGCCACGGTGAAGGACAGCGGATTCCAAGAAATCTCATTCTCCCTATAGTCTAGACCTTTATGGAAGGACATTCAATAGTGGTGAATAAGTCCAAATAGAAGTGGAAGGACATTTTTCTAACTAAAAAGGAAATTTTGATTATCTTATTGGGCATTGTATTAAAAGTATGTAAAACTTAGAAGAAAATATATTGAAAAACAATATGACCAGTTTTTCTTTCTCCTTTCCTTCTTTCAAGGGCCAATAAATTATTAACTGTACTACATATGTCGTGATTAGTTTAAAATCACCCTAATCTCTTTTCAAATCTTTTACAGACGACACTAAAAACATATGATTATGGCATATTTGAATAAGGCCAATGCCATGACTTTCAACCCATTTATATACTGCATTGAATTTTTTTTTTATTAACATGACTTTGCTAAGAGGAAAGAAAAAATGTAAAAAAATTAGATGGACCCTGGTATGAGTCAAACTGTATAGTTCATAACACAGTATCAATAAATACTTATATTTTATATGCATTTAAAGTACTATTAATCCTTTGGTTGACATTTTGCAATAAAATGATTCTGTTAAGATTTAAAATAGCCAAAACAGCAGCTGTCATAAATTGCAAAGGTGAGTAAAACCAGATTTCGGTAAAGCCAGGCTATGATATTTTGTAAAACTGAAATAAAATATTTATTTATACTTTTTCAGTATTTATTTGACTAAACCAGTTACTACCTACCTAATTTATTCTATCAGATAATATCACTGGCCTGCAGGTTCTATGGACCACTCCCTATGTTGTTATAATATGAAAATAAAAGAGACAGTGTATTTATTTGTATACTTACCTAAGTATTTAGTCAACCAATAAAAAATATGTACACCTAGTTTCATCATTCATTACAACTTTACACTGGATGCTGGATCTCAACCTACCCAAACAGGCGTGAGATGACTAATCATGGAATTTCTTTATTCAATCAATAAAGTAATATATGTACCAAGTATCATCCATGTTAATTCTAATTTTAAGAAGTGCTAATAAACAGACCCTTCTTCCATTCTCATAAACATAAAAAGAGGATGCTGGGTGCTGATTAACACATGAAGAGTTTTTAGTCTGGCAATAAGCAACCCAGTTTGAGCAAAATCAGCCATGTCCCTCAAAAACTGAATTAGTAATTCTAGTTTGTATGCTAAAGCTGCATTTAGACATTTCAAAAACAACGGAACAAAGAAATATATTAATGATTATTTCACTATGCTAGTATTTTTGTTTCTTGTTTTTGATATTTTCCACCTGCTATTGCTATCAAGAGAAATAAGAAAAATAGTTTGGTTCAGCAATTATGTAGCTGTTAGTTAAGTTAGATAATTGTGTTTACCATAATTTGTGAAATGTCAAAACAATGGGTAAAATGTTAATCTTCTCTATTTATGGCATTCAAATAAACTTCCTCACCCTACTTCTTATCAAATTCCATTATGTGATGCAGCAATCCTTTTTTTTATGCTTCACATAACAGATGAGAGACTATTTGTGGCTTTTGAAAAGATTACTTCACATATACTATAAATTTCTGAGTCTAGTGTTCAATCAACAAGTGGCTAATCTATAACAGATAATATTCCCCACCCCCAGTTATTTCCTAACAAATTTTAGAAAAAAAAATATACCTGTTTTTAAATCTATAGACATAAATTATTATGTAATTTTAAATACATGACCATATTCAAAGAAAAATAATTTTTTAAATAATATGACCATGAATAATAAGAAATAAAAACAATTTTATATTTTAGAACAGTGTTGCCACATTAACATATTTAATTTTTGTTAAACTTAAGCTCATACTTGAAAGTTTTAAAAATGTTAAAATTATCTCATGGAGTTAACATCGTTTTCATTTTAATGAACTCTGTATTCTTTCCTTTTGGGAGAAATAATACAATATTATTGAAAAATAACGAATATTTTTTTTATTATTGTTAAAATAAAACAGTGCCTCAGTATTTCTACTAAGTTCTTATTCTGCTATTAAAGTTTATTTCAATTTCACTTTAAAAAATGGCTCAAGGTAATTCAAATCAAATGAAAAACGCCCATTATTTCAAACTGGTTGCAGATTTACGTATCCTTTTTATTTTTTAAGAATGTATGTACTTAATCAAAATATTACATAATAAGCATAACTACTACTTGCAAGTTTTCATTATTTTATTCTTATAATTATGCAAACCACAACCTTTCAAAGTTTCTTACATTAATGAAAGTAAAATAAAAGTATGAAACTCATATTTAAAACGTTATTATAGTTTAAGATAGATGTTATGCAGCTATTAGAAACATATTGCGGACTACTTTTTATTATATGTTCATTAAAATAGTTTCATTTTTATTAATTTATACTTCAGAATAAACCCTTAACATTATTTTCATTTCAAAT